CAAACTAGCAATAAAACCAATAGCATTATGTCGATAAGTGAGCTCTGTGACATTCAGTGGTCATCAGCCAATAGTATACAGCAAAAATAGTCAGGAAGACTTAGTACTAGGAACCTAGAAATACCAGTCAAAAAGGTCATCCCTTTCTAGAATTCTAGAAGTACAACATTCTTCACCAATACAGCCTACTGGAGGCAGAAGTACCAATGCATATAAGGTAAACGAACCACAAAGTGATAAAAAAAAAAAAAAAAAAAAAAAAAAAAAACACCACACCCAACAATTCATATACCACACCAGACACATTACAGTCCTTTCACACAGGTGTTCCGTATGTTCGTTTTTCATCTGTTTCCGATGAAAAACGAACACCCATATATTTCTATAGGGCTAGCGGATGATCTGCTTACATCAGTTTTTTTTTTAATAAAAAAAAAAAAAAAAAAAACCCCCACACAAAATACAAAAACACCTGATTTCATCTCACTTTAGATTTGGGGGGGGGGGGGGGGGGGGGGGGTGGTAAATATATATATATATATATATATATAAAAATGTTAGGGATTTACAAATCCTAAAAAAAAAAAATTTAGCGGGCTAAAGCTGACTATACATTATACAATCTCATTGTATAAATTTTCCTTTAGATTTACCAAAAGCCATATGAGGTCAGACCTAAACAAACTTTCAATTTGTAGCCATTCAGGCAGGCCCTTGCACTACATAGTTGAAGGTAAATCTAAAGAGAGCATATGGAAATTGTACAAGAAAATTGTATAATATAATATATGGCAGCTCAAGAATAGTCTTGACAATTTGAATAGTTAAATTACTAGAACAGGACAAAAAACACTGCAAGTACATAGCAAGTACTGCAGATAGTAATAAAAACCTCAAAAATAGTGTGCAATTTAGATATGAAGAAAAAAAAAAAACCCACACAACAAGAAGGGGATCAGGAGATACTCTATTTTTTGCAAGTCACTCAATGGCCCTCTAGTCTGGTACTTGGGATCCTCATGATATAGTACTAGTTTGAAAAAACTGATTAGTAAAAAAGCTAAAATTACAATACTTGGTCCTCAAAACTATTCTCCGCTAAATTGCGGAGCCTTTATCTCCACCTAATCCTGGATACAAAAATAGGAGTGTTGTAGCTGTCCTAGAGCCGAGATCCTCATATAAAACTCATAATACGCAAATTACCACAGTGTTTGCCTGCAATCTCAAAAAGTAAAGTCAAATAGACAATGTTTATAAAACATTACAGCAATAATGGGAAAGTAGATAAGGTGACTAACACGCAAGCTAGGAATACCGGTATTTTCAGATTCTGCCTAACAAAACATTTATCGGCCTAGTAGAGGCACAAGAATAAAGTTTGCAGCTTTTATATAGTGTCTGGTGAATGGTCACAGAGTGTTAAAGTTTGGCGTCTTGCAGAGAAGGGGGGCATTTGTCATTTTTAACATTTAGAAAGTCACAAAAGCCATACCACATCATAAATGTTTTAAAGAGGAAATTCAGCCACTGATTTGCATTTAACTCATTACGATTAGGAAAAACCAACAAGTAGCAATTTCCTCATTCCTCCCCTCCTGTTCCCCCTCATACCACAACAATCCAGTCTCATATGCTGCTGTCCACTTTCTGGATTAGACCTCCCACCACTGATCAGTTCCTGTACATATGAATTGCTCTGATACAGAGACAGCGATTTCCATCATGACTGGTATAAAGGGCTCCTCATTCCTGCATTTCACCAAAGCCGGGAAGAAGGCTGACAAGGCACATTGGCAAACGCACAGTTGTGTGAATTTGTAATGGTAAAACAAAATCAAAAAAGTGTAAAGAGTGAAAATGATAAAACAGATTAAAGTGGTTTTAAAGGCAGGTGTTTTTTCTTTCCTTAAAGCATTCTCTGCATTAAGGTAAAAGCCACCTGTATTCTGTTCCCACCCCCCTCCCCTGTGCCCAGAGCAGCGTTTCTTTCCTCACTGGTTCATAGGCAGCAGAGGGAACCAATGGCTTCTGCTGCTGGTTATCACAGCCAGTGAGCAGAGTGCAGGACTGAGCAGTGGAAAGCATTCTGAACACCACCCAAACCATAAGAGTATAAAGAAACAACTGTTCATAAGCACACAACAGCTTTGGGCAAACAATGCAGGTACTTTTTTCCACTTGTTAAGGACCCATTGAGACCGGGTTCATATATGTGCGGTGCCGGTTTCAGTGTGATTTACCAAAACGAGTCCAGTGCAATTTCATTCAGCACTTCAGGAGCAAATGTTTCAAGTATGACACTACAGAGGCACCTGAAATGGACTAAATTGCATATATGTGAACCGGGGCTCAGGGTGAATGGGCTGGGCTGCCTTAAAGCAATGCATGTTAGACTGCCACTCGAATAAAAACTTAAGGCAAACCTGTGAATGTTTAATATTTACCTGTCCCACTTGATAATCTTTTTTGCTCGATAAACTAAATCTGCTGGTGAATCCTCAGCATCTTTCGGTCGTAATACTATAGAGGCTGGTGGATTCAACGATAGAGCATTCTAGGCATCTGACACCATGTCCTCTAGGGATACAGGATACCTGGAACCCATGTGAGCTTCAGTCTACCAGTTTCTATGTCACTACCATCTCCTGTAATGATGTAAAGATCAGCTGAACAAACCAAAGCGCTGCAAGGGAAACCAGACAGCCACACCTAGAAGCATATTAGATGCACTGGCAGCTCTACAAATATTGGCACCATGACACATTATGCATGGTTGCTAAAGAGAATTTGATTCAGCTCAATTTTTTTTCTCCATCTCAGTTTAAACTATGTTCAGTTAGGTTCAAGAAACATACTCACCCAATAAATCCAACATTGTTCTGTAGGGGTCCGCCACTGCACCCCACATCCCGCACCACCACCACCCTCTATGTTAAAAGGAATCAGCCATCTCTTCTACGTTCTTGCAGCCTGGTGACGATAGGTTCTCCTCTAGTGCTGTGTCTAGGCCTCTGATGCCTCCTGGGATATCTGAAGTGGATATCCCAGAAGGTTGAGGCAGGGTGATGCTGTTCTCACCTACATGAGAATGGGGCATAGGAGGTGCTGATCAACTTAATCAAACCCGATTGAAAGGGAAGTTATGGCTATTTGATGGCCACAAAAGAGAACAGTGACTGAATAATGCAGAAAGTAAAGTGACCAATATATCTATCTATCTATCTATCTCTTGCCCCTCCCCCACCGCCTTTTTTTAAAATATGTAATACACACTGAGGCTCTATTCACACTTGTGCGGCCTTGTCATGTGACTTTGAACACAAAGTCGCAGCCCATTGTTTTCATTGCCACCCATTCGGATCTTTGTGATTTAAATTTGCAGCATCTGTGGCAGAGTGTAAAGTTGCATTGGAAATCGTGCGACTTTGGAGTTACACAAGTGTGCATGGAGCCTAAATGAGGGCGATCCATTGAAGAAAATGTACTAAAACTGGAGCAAACAATACTTATAGAGCACCAGCAATTTGCACAGAGCATATACATATCCTCCAGATTCTGTCTACTCCAGTTTTAGTACTTTTCTTCAATGGATCACCCTCATTTAGGCTCCATTCACACAAAAGTCCACGATCTCCAGTGAGATCTCGCTCAAGATTGTAGACTTGTGTGAATGGAACTTAAATGAGGGCAATCCATGGTTATAAATTTTTTTTTTTTTTTTTTTTTTTTGTACTAAAACTGGAGCAGACAGAATCTGGCGGAGCCACACACACACACACACTTTGTACATTCACACCAGTCCCCAACCCTCAAGGAGTGTACAATCTAAGGTCCCCAAGTCTCATTGATACATATCCATACTAGGACCAATTTAGACAGGATCCAATTAACCTACCAGCACGTCTTTGGAGTGTGGGAGGAAACCGAAGTACCTGGGAGGAAACCCACACAGGTACAGAGAACATGCAAACTCGAGGCAGGTAGTGCCATGGTTGGGATTCAAACCAACAACCCTGGTACTGCCAGGCAGGAGTGCTAACCATTTAGCTACTATCAAGGATAGCTAAAAGCTGACTGGTTGTCATCCACAGCTGCTCCACACTGACCACTCCTATGGCAGCCATACATAATCCATTTCTTTTCTGATGGAGTTCCTCCGATAACAAAAATCAGTCTATTGTCAGCAACCTATTTGATCAATATGCCGCACATGGGGGGGGGGGGGGGGGGGGACTTGGGGGAGTGAATTTCAATGGTTAGCATACAATTATAACAGACTGGCCATACATTATACAATTTTCTTGAGATTTTTTGGTTTAGATTTACCAAAAACCATATAATAATAGGAGGTCAAACCTAAACAACACTTTCAATTGTATCCAATTAGGCAGGCTCTTCCACTACATAGTTGAAGGTAAATCTAAAGGAAATTGGGCAGAAAATTGTATAGTGTATGGCCAGCCTTGGAAGTGCATGTTTATTAATCACATCTGTTTCCATCATGTAATCTCATAAGCTAATCAATCAAAATATCTCAGTGCTGCTGATGGATTCATAATTAATATTCCACCCTGACTGCTACACTTAATATGATTGAAGGGAAGTTATGGCTGATGGGGGGGAAAATTAAATAAAATATATTGAAGCATGTTTGGCCATCAGTGAATCCCCCACGGAGTGCACTGTGAAGTTATTGGAAAGTGAAATGATTGGCTTTCAGAGCAGGAGGTGACACGGTGTGACGTTGGCAGGCTGAGCAGCTGTTGGCGCTCCTCCATACCTGCCTGGGGGTGGGAGGCCTCAGCAGACATACATATATTCTGGATATGGGAGTCAGGAGCCCAGCCAGCATCATCTCCCACGGAGGACATGGCAGGCTGGTCATGTGATGATGGTGAGGGGTAGAGGGGAGTCATTGCTCTGTTTACTCCAACCTGGAGGGGGGGGGGGCTGTGAGGAGGAGAGAAAAGGGGGGGGGGGGGGGGGAGGCCACTCACCCAGAATATCAAGTTGAAGATAAAGATGAGATACTTGATGCACTTCATTCCGCCTTCCACCGCCATCCTGCCGCTCTGTCTGTACAGACAAGACACAAGTACACGTTAGGCCGAGCGCAGTCATGTTAGTATAGTACACCCCGAGCCCCGAGCCCAGCTTACCTCCCCGGCCGCTCTCAGAACTCTCTTTCCCCAGCAAACTGTTGCTCCTCAGCGCCGTGCGCACTTCTGACTGAGCTGAGACTTATGGCGAGGCTGGGCGCACTCCTCCCCTCCTCCCCGCGCTGCACCTCCTGCCCCCGCACTGTACGCCGGTCATGTGACCCGTCCTGAGAGCACTGACGTGTTTACCTAGGGTGGCCCAGTGCTGGGAAGCCCCGCTCCTCCTGTAATTAGGACATTATTCATAGTGTGTGTGCTACACAGGAGGATTACTCATTCCCAGCATGACTTCCTGATGTCTGTGGGGATGGGGGATCCGGAATGTTCTCACAGACAGGCAGCTTGTAGGAATTCCACGTATGGACTCTATATGGTACCTACAGATGTACACTTACCGGCCACTTTATTAGGTACACCTTGCTAGTACCGGGAGGGACTCCCTTTTGCCTTCATTCTTCATGGTATAGATTCAGCAAGGTGTTGGAAACATTCCTCAGAGATATTGGTCCATATTGACATGAGTTACTATTGCCTCTCTATCGTCTGGAACCAGTCTGCCCATTCTCCTCTGACCTCTGACATCAACAAGGCATTTTTGTCCACACAACTGCTGCTTATTGGATGTTTTCTCTTTTTTGGACCATTCTCTGTAAACCCTAGAGATGGTTGTGCATAAAAATCCCAGTAGATCAGTAGTTTTTTAAATACTCAGACCAGCCCGTCTGACACCAACAACCATGCCACGTTCAAAGTCACTTAAAAATCCCCTTTCTTCCCCCCATTCTGATGCTCGGGTTGAACTTTAGCAAGTCATCTTAACCATGTTTAGATGCCTAATTCATTGAGTTTGCTGCCCTGTGATTGGCTGATTATCAATTTGTGTTACCAAACAATTGAACAGGTGTACCTAATAAAGTGGCCGGTGAGTGTATGTACATTGTACACTGATCAGACGTGACATTAGGATCACCGATCAGGAAAGTGATAACATTGATTATCTGGTTACAATGGCTTCTGAAAGTGGGTGGGATCTATTAGACGGTAAGTGAACAAGTGTCCCTGAAGTTGATGTTTCGAAAGTAGAAAAAATGGGCAAGTGTAAGGATCTGAAACCACTTTGACAAGGAACAAATAATGGCAGGGCCACAGATATAATGAAGTGGCCCCATGTTTATTGTGAGCCTTGGCACCCTTTGTTAACCACTTGCTGTCCACCCTGTAGCAGAAGTACTGCTACAGGGCGGCAGGGGTGCGCAAAATCCTGTATATATATATATGGGTGTGTGTGTGTGATTTTGCAGTTCTGGGTCGGGGCAAGCATCCTACCCGCGTGCCATTGGCAGCCTCGGCTGTCAATCATAGTGATTACTTGCCGGCGCCCAGTGATTGCTGAGCACCTCCGACGATTGTTTGTAAACAATACAGTTCTCTCCTGTCAGCTCCTGCACACTGTATGGCTGTGCATAGTACAGCCATACAAAGCAGTGTGCTTACAGTGAAACACAGACACAGGACACAATGTAAAACACACCCAGCACACAGTTAACCCTTTGATCGCCCCTCATGTTAACCCCTTCCTGCCCAGTGCCATTAGTACAGTGTCGTTGCTTTTTATTAGATCACGGTATTGGTGTCACTGGGGATGTCGGTGACACTAAGTCAGTTCCCCCCAGTGTCAGAATGCCCACCGCAATCCCGCTATAAGTCACTGATCACCGCCATTACTAGTAAAAAAAAAAATATAGACAAAAAAAAATCCCAGTATATATACCGCCATTTGTAAACGCTATAACTCATGTAAGCCAATTAATTTACATGTAGCAAAATATATTTTTGGTATAAATTTATGATGACATTTTATTTTTTTACTGGGCATATTTAATAGCAAAAAGTCCAAAATATTGTTTTTATTTCTCAAAAAACGCACAGGCGATCAAATACCACCAAAAGAAAGCTCAATTTGTGGGGAAAAGGGACGTAAATTTAATTTGGGTGCAGCGTTGCATGACTGCACAATTGTCAAAGTAACGCAGCACCGTACTTTCACCTACCTATATAATGTCTGTCTCCTGAGGTGATTTTCAGCAGTTAGATCTTCAATCAAGACCAGCTTTCCTCCCTCCCTCCCTTCCTTCCTTCCTCCCCCTCCCTTCCTCCCTTCTTCCTTCCTTCTTCCTTCCCCTTCCTTCCTTCCTCCCTCCCTCCCTCCCTCCCTTCCTTCCTCCCTCCCTCCCTCCCCTTCCTTCCTTCCTTCCCTTCCTCCCTCCCCCTCCCTCCCTCCTTCCTTCCTTCCTCCCTTCCTTCCTCCCCTCCTTCCTTCCTCCCTTCCTTCCTTCCTCCCCTCCCTCCCCCTTCCTTCCTCCCTCCCCCTTCCTTCCTCCCTCCCTCCTCCCTTCCTTCTTTCCTCCCTTCTTTCCTTCCTCCTCCCTTCCTTCTCTTGTTGTGGCTATCCTTTTTTAGGGGTATTGTGTTATGGGTGGGCAGTGTGGTTAACCAATTGCCTACCGGGCACTTCCACCCCCTTTCTGCCCAGGCCATTTTTCAGCTTTCAGTGCTGTCACACTTTGAATGACTATTGCACGGTCATGCAACACTGTACACATGACATTTTTATCATTTTTTGAGACATATAGAGCTTTCTTCCACCGCTGGGTTTGTTAGGTTTTTGCTAAGCAAACGAAAAAAAAAAAATGTCTTAGTTTCTGTTATAAAATTTTGTAAACAGGTAATTTTTCTCCTTCACTGATGTGTGCTGGTGAGGCTGCACTGATGGGCACGGATAGGCTGCACTGATGTGCAAGGATATGCGGCACTGATAGGCTGCACTGATGGGTACTGATGAGGTGGTACTGATAGGCTTTACTGATGAGTAGGCACTGACTGGTGGCACTGATGGACACTGACTGGCAGCACTGATGGACACTGACTGGCAGAACTGATGGACACTGTTGGGGCTGCACTGAACTGCCTCTGATTTTTTAAATACACTTGCAGATTATTCGGCTCTCCTCTTTCCTCAGCAAGAGGGAAGTACAGACGTAAAACGGCGACTGTATGTACATTGTGATTAGCTGTGTCATTGGACACAGCTGATCACATGGTAAAAGGGCCACTGTGATTGGCCCTTTACCATGTCATGTGATCAGCTGTGTCTGAAGGACACATTGCTCACAGAGCTTGCTTGGGGGCGCTTCGGATGTGCGGTTTTGGAGGATGTTATATGACACCCTTTCAGAACTAGACGACCATGCTGTAATCGTCATTTGGCTATAGCCCCGTCATCAAGTGGTTAAAGGGATAGTTCACCTTTACCAAAAAACTGCCTATGCAGATAAAGGGTGTGGATAATAAATTGTGTGTCTCTGACTGACCCCTGGTTCAATTATACAGTTGTGCTCAAAAGTTTGCATACCCTGGCAGAAATTGTGAAATTTTGGCATTGATATTGAAAGTATGACTGATCAAGAATGATGATCATATGAAGCCATTTACTATTAAATAGTTGTTTGGCTCCTTTTTAAATCATAATAACAGAAATCACCCAAATGGCCATGATGAAAAGTTTAAATACCCCTGGAATGTTTGGCCTTGGTACAGACACACAAGGTGACACACATGGCTTAAAATCCCACTTAGAGGTTAATGTCCCACATATGTGGCTTTTTAAATTGCAATTAGTGTCAGTGTATAAATAGTCAATGAGTTTGTTAGCTCTTACGTGGAAGCACTGAATAGGCTAGATACTGAGCCATGGGGATCACAAACGAACTGTCAAAAGTCCTGCGTAACAAGGTATGGAACTTTATAAAGATGGAAAAGGACATAAAAATATGTTTAGTTAATTGCAATTTAAAAAGCCACAGATGTGGGACATTGACCTCTAATTGGCATTTTAACCCGTGTGTGTCACCTTGTGCATCTGTACCAAGGCCAAACATTGCAGGGTATGTAAACTTTTGATCATGGCCATTTGGGTGATTTCTGTTATCATTATGATTTAAAAAAGGAGCCAAACAACTAATTTGATAATAAATATCTTCCTATGATCATCATCCCTCAATAAAAGAGCATTTTTTGCATGATCAGCCATATTTTCAATACCAATGCTAAATTTCACAATTTCTGCCAGGGTATGCAAACTTTTGAGCACAACTTTATGCGGCCGTGCGGGCCGCGTTTTGCACAGGCACAAGAGCCCATTCATTTGAATGGACTCCCATACCCGTGACATGCAGGGAAGAAGTCCCTGTACTTCTTTGGTAAACGCAGCCTGGACGGGAACCTCGGTTCTCAGTACGGTTGCGTTTTCAAGTGCGGGTGGCGTGCCATTAGAAAGCGGAAGCACCTGTACAGATGTGAACCTAGGGTAAGGATTAATAATACCATTGCTAAAGGTGTAGGCCATTTATGCACCTCATGAAGCCTGACTGGAATACTCCCAGGACATTGCTAAGTGAGGCCTAGTCATTACTGCTCGCCTCCACCATCACTTGAATGAGCTCTTAGATGCTGAACCCAGTGCTACTGCATCAGGGGAGAGATGAGCATGTGAGGGGGTCTGAATCAGAGAAAAAGCTCACACCTGTGATGGTGGGAGTGAGCAGTAAACGACAAGGCCTCACTTAGCAACGTCCTGGAAATACTTAGCAATGTCATGGGAGTATTCCAGTCAGGCTTCATGAAGTACATAAATGGCCTACACCTATAGAAAGGGCATTATTCAACTTTAGTCAGAGACACACAGTTTGTTTTTTTACTGTACACAGATACCTGCATAGGCAGTTCTTTGGTCGAAGTGAACTATCCCTTTAAAGGCTTTAATGGACTTTTACATCAAGTTTGAGTCTTGGTGACTAAGCTTTGTGTTTTTGATATTTATTTCAAAATAGTTATTGGTTTGCTTA